TTCTCTGTCTCTCCGCCATTCAGATAAACTTTTTTTTTTAATGTTAAAAATTTAAAGTAAAATAAAATTTAAAAGAATTAGGTAAGCCTTTGAGACTTTTTTTTTTTGCTTTCAAACTTTTATTTAATGAATATAAATTTCCAAAGTACAGCTTATGGATTACAATGGCTTCCCCCCCATAACGTCCCTCCCACCCACAACCCTCCCCTTTCCCAATCCCTCTCCCCTTCCATTCACATCAAGATTCATTTTCATTTCTCTTTATCTACAGAAGATCAGTTTAGCATACATTAAGTAAAGATTTCAACAGTTTGCTCCCACACAGAAACATAAAGTGAAAAATACTGTTTGAGTACTAGTTATAGCATTAGATCTCAATGTACAGCACACTAAGGACAAAGATCCTACATGAGGAGTAAGTGCACAGTGACTCCTGTTGTTGACTTAACAAATTGACACTCTTGTTTATGGCATCAGTAATCACCCTAGGCTCTTGTCATGAACTGCTAAGGCTATGGAAGCCCCCTGAGTTCACTGACTCTGATCATATTTAGACAAGGCCATGGTCAAAGTGGAAGTTCTCTCCTCCCTTCAGAGAAAGGTATCTCCTTCTTTGATGACCCGTTCTTTCCACTGGGATCTCACTCGTGGAGATCTTTCATTTAGGTTTTGGCTTTCCATGCCTGAAATACTCTCATGGGCTTTTCAGCCAGATCCGCATGCCTTAAGGGCTGATTCTGAGGCCAGAGTGCTGTTTAGGACATCTGCCATTCTATGGGTCTGCTGTGTATCTCACTTCCCATGTTGGATCATTCTCTCCCTTTTTGATTCTATCAGCTAGTATTTGCAGATACTCTTCTTGTTTCTGTGATCCCTTTGGTTCTTAGTCCTATCATTATGATGAATTGTGAACAGAAATTGATCACTGGGACTAGTGAGATGGCATTGGTACATGCCACCTTGATGGGATTGAATTGGAATCCCCTGGTATGTTTCTAACTCTACCATTTGAGGAGACTTCTGAGATATTAAAGAACAAATATTTAAATCAAGGGCTTCCAAAAAATGAACAAAAGGGAAAAGACAATGATAAACCTAATCAATAAAACAATAGTTGCAAATGTCCTTTAACTTGAGAAAGATATAGACATCTAGATCCAGGAGGCCCATAGGACCCCAAAAAGATTTGACCCTTTAAAGGTCCTCATTGCGGTATATTATGGTTAAGCTGTGAAAGCTCAAGACAAGGAAAATACTACAAACAACTGGAAAGCACCAAGTCACATTTAAGAAAAATCCCTTTAGATTAAGAGATGATTGCCCAGTAGAATGTGACATATTCAAAATTCTAAAAGACTTCCAACCAAGAATATGATACCCTGAGAAGTTACCCTTCTGAAGTGAAGGAAAAATAAAGACTTTCAAGGAAGCAAAAACAGGGAATTCATCATCAGAACACCAACACTACAAGAAATGCTTAAGTTCTAAATCTGAAATCAAAAGGACGGTAATTACCATCACGAAACACCATAAGGAATAAAACTGGTAAAGAAGATATACAAATGAAAAAGAGGAAATAATCATACTCTGTCACTGCAAAAACCACCAAATCACAGAAGTAAAGGGAAACACAGAGAGGAACAAAGAATATACAAAGCCATCAGAACAATTAACAAAATTGACAGGAGTAAACTCTTACTTGTCAGTAATAATCTTGGTTATAAACAAATTAAATTCCTCAATTAAAATGTATAAAGTAAATGAAAGCATAAAAAAATACTGAACTATATGATGTCTATAAGAAATTCATTTCACCAGTAAAGATACACATTGACAAAAGTAAATGGTTGGGAAAAGATACCCCACACAAATGGAAACCAAAACTAGCAGGAATAACTATACTTTTGTCACATAAAATAGATTAAAATGTTAAAAATGTAAATGAGACAAAGAAGGGCATATAATATAGAATAGCATAAAATAGGCATCAATTCAACAGGAGGAAATAACAATCATAAACATATATATTCACAACACTGGAGCACCCAATTAAATAAAACAAATATTATTAGATAATAAAAGGATAAATAGACTCCAAAAGACTAATATTTGTGGACTTCAACAATTTAGTTTCACCAATTGATATCATCCCAAAAAAACTGACAGGGAAACCTAAGAGTTTAATCTATTATAGACCAAACTCTATTATAGACCAAACTCTATTATCGACCAAACAGACATTAACAAAACATTTCATTCAACAGCTATAGAATTCCCATTCTTTTCATTAGCACATGTAACATTCCTCAGGATATACTACATGTTAGGCTACAAAATGAACATCAAATTTTTAATAATTGAAATCATTATCATGTACCTTCTTTGACTGCAATGGAATAAAACTGGAAATCAACAAGAGGTACTTTAGAAATTGTACAAATACATATAAACTAAACATAAATTCTAGAATTACCATTGGGGCAATGAAGAAATAAAGAGAAATTTAAGAATTTCTCAAAACAAATGAAAATGAAATCCCAATATTCCAAAAACTATGGGATATAGCAAAAGCAATACTTGAGGGAAATTTACAGCAAACAGTACTTACTTATATCAAGAAAACAGAAATTTTTAAAACAAACAACCTAATATCACAACCCACGAGCAAATCAAACTCAAAATTAATAAAAATAAAAAAATCAGAGCAGAGTGCTATGTGAATTAACGGTCTATCTAGTACTCAAAGGAACTTTATACTTTGTGTTTCTGTGTGGGTGCAAACTGTTGAAATATTTACTTAGTATATACTAAATTGATCTTCTGTATATAAAGATAATTGAAAATGAATATTGATGTGAATGGGATGGGAGAGGGAGTGGGAGATAGGACGGTTGCGGGTGGGAGGGAGGTTATGTGGGGGAAAATAATCCGTTATAATCCAAGGTTGTACTTCGGAAATTTATATTCATTAAATAAAAGTTAAAAATGATAAAAATCAGAGTAGAAATAAATGAAATAAAGACTAAAAAATACAAATAATCAATGAAATGAAGATTTTTAAGACAAACAAATCTGATAATCCCTTAGTCAGGCCAACAGAGAAAGAGGGCCCAAATAAAGAAAATCAGAGATGAAAACAGAGACATTACAAATGATACCACAAGATATACAAAGGACCATTAGAGATTATTATGAACAATAGTATTCCAACAAACTGAAAATCCTAGAAAGAATTGATTAATTTCAGGGCACATACACCCTACCAAAATGAACCATAAAGACATGGGAAACCTGAACGACCAATAACTAACTACAGGACTGAATCAGTGATAAAAAGTCTCCTAACAAAGAAAAGTCCAGGACTTTATTTCTTTATTACTTAATTTAAATAAGAATTATTAACAATTATTCTTACACTATCCCAAAAAATTGAAAGGAAGAAATTCTGCCAAACTCAATCTATAAAGCCAATACTGATAGGAAAATCAAACAAGACACAACAAAAATACAAACTAAATACCATTATCTCTGATGAAAACAGATGTAAAAATTCAAAATAAAATCCTAGCAATTTGAATCCAACAGCACAACAAAAAGATTATACACCATAACCAAATGGGTTTTATCCCAGATATGAGAGGTGGATGAATATACATAAAGCAATAAACATTACACAGCATACCAACAGATTGCAGGACAAAATCCATATTATCATCTCAAGAGAAACATAAAAAGCATTGGATAAAATTAAACATCCCATCTGACAAAAACCCTCAGCAAACTAGGTACAGAAGGAATATGCACTTATGCAACAAAGGTTATATCCAAAACTGTGGCTAACATAATGCTAAATGGGAGAAAAACCGAAAAAAATCAGGAACAAGGATTTGTACTTCCACCAGTTCTATTTAACATAGTACTGGAAATCTTAGCCATAGCAAGTGTGCATGAGAAAGAAATAAAAAACACTAAAATTGAAAAGAAGAAATAAAATTATTCTTGTTTGTAGAAGACATGATCTAATACATAGAAAATCTAAATAACCTATAAAAATATATGGAATTGGCCGGCACCACGGCTCTCTAGGCTAATCCTCCGCCTTGCGGCACCGGCATACTGGGTTCTAGTCCCGGTCAGGGCGCCGGATTCTGTCCCGGTTGCCCCTCTTCCAGGCCAGCTCTCTGCTGTGGCCCGGGAGTGCAGTGGAGGATGGCCCAAGTCCTTGGGCCCTGCACCCCATGGGAGACCAGGATAAGTACCTGGCTCCTGCCATCAGATCAGCGTGGTGCGCCAGCCGCAGCACGCCGGCCGCGGTGGCCATTGGAGGGTGAACCAACGGCAAAGGAAGACCTTTCTCTCTGTCTCTCTCTCTCACTCTGCCTCTCACTCTGCCTGTCAAAAAAAAAAATATGGAATTGATAAATGAATTCAGTGAAGATACAGGATACAAAATTAACACATAAAAAGCAATATCATGGGGTGTGCATTTGGTAAAGTGGTTAAGTCCCAGCATGGGATCCCATACTGGAGAGCCAGGTTCAAGCCTCAGCTACTCTGCTTCTGATGCAGATTTCTGCTAATGCATACTCTGGGATGCAGTAGTTGATGGCCCAGTTATGTGGGTTCCTGTAACACATGTAGAAAACCAGTATGATCGGCCGGCGCCGCGGCTCACTAGGCTAATCCTCCGCCTAGCGGCGCCGGCACACCAGGTTCTAGTCCTGGTCGGGGCGCCGGATTCTGTCCCGGTTGCCCCTCTTCCAGGCCAGCCCTCTGCTGTGGCCAGGGAGTGCAGTGGAGGATGGCCCAGGTGCTTGGGCCCTGCACCCCATGGGAGACCAGGAAAAGCACCTGGCTCCTGGCTCCTGCCATCGGATCAGCGCGGTGCGCCGGCCGCAGCGCGCCGGCCGCGGCGGCCATTGGAGGGTGAACCAACGGCAAAGGAAGACCTTTCTCACCTGTCTCTCTCTCTCACTGTCCACTCTGCCTGTCAAAAAAAAAAAAAAAAAAAGAAAACCAGTATGGAGTTCCAGGCTCCTGGCTTCAGCCTACCTGAACCCTAGCTGTTCTGGGCATTTAAGCAATGAAACAGCAGATGGAAGATTCATCAATCAATCTCTCTCTTTCTCTACCTTTCAAATAGCATGAAAGTAAATAAATTTTAAAACAGAGCTTTTATATACCGGTAACAAACTGGTTATAAAATAAATCATTGGTCTGACGTTGTAATGCAGTGGGTTAAGCCACTACCTGCAATGCCAGCACCAGAACACTGGTTTGATCCTAGCTGTTTCACTTCTGACCCAGCCTCTGTTAATGTACCCAGCAAAGCAATCAATGATGTCCCAAGTACTTGAGCCACATGGAAGATCCAGATATAGTTCTAGCTTCTAATTTCAGATTGGTCCAGCCCTGCCCATTGCAGCCATTTTGGGAGTGAACAGGCAGATGAAGATCTCTTTCTCTAACTCTCCCTCTCTGTCACTCTAGCTTTCAAATAAATAAATAAATAATTCATTTAAAAGATTTGAAAACATTTCTGCCAAGAATTATAGCAGGAGATAAAATATGCATTTATCAGCATGTTTCTGAACACAAAACATAACCAACACAATGTCTACCAAGAGGTCAAAAAAAGCACACCACACAAGAAGAAAGTATCATAAAGTCATAGCAAAAGTTTTTGTGAATAGTCAGTGCATTTTGCCTATTAATTTTCTGGAGGGCCAAAGACCAGTACTATATGCTTGTTATAAGAATGTTTTTACAAAGTTAATCAAAGTTTTGGAAAAAAAAAAAAAAAAGCTTCAGATTCTGCAAAGACAACCTTTCTGCTCACTCCTCTCATAAAACAAAGGCAATTTGTACAAATTTCTTTGGGAAATCATTAGACATTCACCTTAGAGTCTTGATACGGCTGATGGCTCACATTTTAGAGAAGATACCACCCACATTCTTTATTGGGGGAATCTAAGAAGGACACCTCTGTTCTAGCTGTTCCCTGAGAAAGTGTCACTGCTTGAGTCTAGCAGAGGTTTGATGACGGAAATGTTTCTTAAGATACAAAAGCCATAAGAAGTATGATTTTTCCATAAAGGTTGCTCTAAGAGCCTTTCCTTCCGACCATACCTGAGCAAGCCAACCCAAACCATGACCACTATCAAATAAACTGAATGTTCTGGCTTTCTTTTTACAATTTAAGGGACTTTTGTTGCCAGTCCAGTCTCAGAATCATGCAGCTGTTCAAACCGGAAAGCAATATTTTTCATATTGCAGGCTTTTTCTCAATCAGAACACAAACCAGACATGGCAAACAATCAATAAGTTGACTTATGCTAAAGGACTCACCAATGAACCAAAGACTACAAGAAAATATCATATTTGTTCTTGTCCCAGCTCTTCCATTAGCAAAATTTATGGCCTTGCACAAGATATTTAATCTTGGTAAGCCTCATTTTTCTCATCTTTAAAAATAATAATTCAGTTATGGGATGAGTGTTTAGCTTACTGGTTAAGACTTTGGATAAGACACCTGTACTACATTTTGGCATGCCTGGGTTTAATATCAAGTTCTGGCTCCTGGCTCCAGATTCCTGCTGAAGCAAACCTAAGGAGAAATTGTATTGGCTCACATAATTGGGATATTGCCATACAACTATGTTCCCAGCTCCCAGCTTCTACCCTGGGTTAGCCTTGAACATTAAAGCCATTTGAGGAGTGAAAACAGCAGATAAGTAGCTCTATCTGTCTCTGTTTGTCTATGCCTCTCAAATATTTTTAAAAATAGAAATAAACCAATTTGGATTAGACTAATTCTGAAGACTCATTAATTTAGTTCTCTGGTCTTATATATTCTCTTTAGTTTGCATGTTAAACCAGCAGAGATCAATAATCTTGGCAGTGAAAATGGGTTCTATTTTCATGTATAGATCATTTCCAAGTTACAAAAAAGACTAAAGAAATAATCATTTTCAGAGTTAACTCTTACGTAATTTATTCTCAATCTCAATTTTTATTGACAACTTTATGGACTTCACTATGTCAATATAAGACATACACAAATAAGCACCACATTGATGCAAATGCTGAAGTTTTTCATCACCTCTCAATTCAGCATTGTAAATTTTGAAACAACCTATAACAAAGCATTAACTACTCAATAAACATTTTCCACTATAAAGTGGCTATAAATTGCCCATAAGGCAAACTATTGTCTAGCAAACAGCCTTATAAAAATTAATAAAACTTTTCTAGTCATGTAAATAAGTTATTATGTGCTGGATTCACCATCTTTCTACTTAAATTCTACCAAAAAAACTCAATACCAGAGACAACAGATAGCAAACCTTATGACTAAGATTATGACTATGTTTTTACTTCATGAATTTAATAGAAGATACCTATTTGTCATGATCATGAACTATCAATGTGGAAATCAAATTTTAGAAAGAAAAAAATGTGTAAAGTGCACTACTCTTTCTTTCACGTTTAATAAAAGGCAGGACTTTCACACAAATATCTTACAGATTTTTTCTCAGATTTTATAGGAAAAGAAATCACCCTATAAATATCTACACTTTATGAAGTAATGAAAATTGTCAGACGGCTACTGCAATGAGCTAGAAATTAGGGAATGTGAATACTAATTCTTAAGCTTATATTGATTCAGAATAACCTTGAATTATGTATCCAACATTCTCTCTCTCCATGTCATAAAACTGAAGAATAAATGTAATGCCATCTTTTTTCCCTCTGGAACAAACAACTGTGTACAACTGAATTGAAATGGAATTGCATATGTAGTAGATAGAATAAAACATGTTTGGGTTGGTTTGAACTTTAGTGTAGCACACTGTTTCATAATTCAGCGTTTTCTATGTACAATAAATCTTTAAATGATACTGAAATGCTTTGAGATCTTCTGAAAAAAGTTTATAAATGGCATAAACAATAATTTTACTTGATTGGGCAAATAAGAAACAGAATACCATCAAGAACAGATGAATATTTTAGCAGACTTTGGTTCACTTACTCTTAAAAGGAATAATTCAGTCAGAAAATTTCAAGAGGGTTGGATTAATTTCTTAGTGAAACAAAAGTGAATAAAGCCAGGCTTGTTTTATTACAGAATAAGAGAACAAGCAGTTGATGAGTTCCAGTAATACTTTTCAACCTTGTAAAGACTTAAAAACATGGCCAGCACCACGGCTCACTAGGCTAATCCTCCACCTGCAGTGCCGGCACCCCGGGGTTCTAGTCCTGGTTGGGGCGCCAGATTCTGTCCCGGTTGCTCCTCTTCCAGTCCAGCTCTCTGCTACGGCCTGGGAAGGCAGTGGAGGATGGCCCAAGTGCTTGGGCCCTGCACCTGCATGGGAGACCAGGAGGAAGCACCTGGCTCCTGGCTTCAGATCGGCGCAGCACGCCAGCCACAACGCACCAGCCGTAGCGGCCACTTGAGGGGTAAACCAACAGAAAGAGGAAGACCTTTCTCTCTGTCTCTCTCTCTCTCACTGTCTAACTCTGCCTGTCAATAAAAAAAGAAAAAAAAGACTTAAAAACAAGCAAAATATTATGAATCAGCATAAGGGGATATGCAACAAAGTAAGTCTATTGCCTATAGAACCATTGTTCTAGAAGCTTAGCACCTCCCATTAGTGCTCATTCAGTCCAGCTTCACCATTACACTTTCTTAAACTGCATCTAAATACTTCCAGATGTATATGTTCTTTATTTGTAAAGCTCTTGAGTAAAATATATTTATAATCTACATTTTAGTGTTAATCCCAGTGCAAAGTGTGCTTTTGCTGTCTTTAAATAAACAAAATCTAGTGCAATATCATTGCATATCCCCTTATGCTGATTCATCATATTTTGCTGGTTTTAAGACTTTACATAGTTGGAAATTATTACTGGGATTAATCAACTTCCTCTTCTCTTATACTATGGTACAACAACAGCAAGTCTAGTACTATTCAGTTTTATTTGACTAAGCACTGTAGTCTTGTGTCCCCAGGGCTCTTGGTTTCCAGGGTAAGCCCAAGACTTTCTGTATGGTCAATCATTATCCATATGGACTTTATTTCCTTTTTTACTTAAAAATATGTAATTGACAAATAAAATGAAATATATCCAAAGTATACAGAATGATAATTTGATATATACCAAATATAATATATACATTGTATACTGATTACTATAATCAAATCAATGAATATATCCATGCCACTCATGCTGTACGTTAGATCCTCAGAACTGGTTCATCTTGTAACTGACCATTTAGATTCCACACATAAATCGTATTTGTCTTTCTGGACCTGGCCTCCGGGCTCATCCCTGTAATCTCCAAGGCAAGATTTCCTTCTTTTTTAAGATTGAACAATATTCACATAGAAAGGGAGGGAAAGAGAGGGATCTGAGAGAGAGGTGCCATTTTCTTTACTCATCTGTCGATGGTTGTAGACACAGAGGTTGATCCCATATTGTTTTTTTGTGAATAGAACTGCAATGAATGTAAGAGTGCAGATATCTCTTCAAGATACTGATATAGAAAACTACATAGTTTACCAATTGACATTCCCTCCAATAGTATGCAAAGTGTTTCCTTTTTCTCCACCTCAGAGCCAACTCTTGTAATCTCCTGTCTATCACACCTGTGAAGATGTCCATTATTGAAAAGACAGGAGATAATAAGTAAAATTTTATTTTTCAACTAAAAGTTGTTAACCTACAGTCATGCTCACTAAATAAATTTCATCTAATTTATTTATATATTTCTTCATTAAAAAAAGTTCATTTTCAATTCAATTCTTATCCTACAAGGAATTAAGTACCCTTCCAGTTTTCAAGTTATCTAAAAGGGTTAACATACCTAGCTTAGTGAAAGAAAAAATCAGTGGCTTATTCCTGAAAAACTGTATTGTACAAAAGCATAGGGAAGTGTAGGTATATAAAGTATAATAATTATATGAGTTGGGGTTTGCTAGAACATTGGATCCAAGATTCATTTCATTTTCCATCAAGTAAAAATAACTTTAGCTATTTTCCTTAGAAACACGTTAGAACCAAATGATGAATCTCCCATCTTGTGAGATATCAATATGTCCTTTCTGTGACACAAACCAGCAACCTGCATATGTTCAAAAATAAGACTGCATATGTCCAAAAACATTCTATTTTTATGTTCTGAACAGTGCTAGATCCTATGTGCTGTGTAAAGGCATATAAAATAGAGAATATATCTTATAGGGACTTACAAATTTTTGTTTAGTCATTTTCCATTTACATTTAGGAAAATGCTTATGAGGATAACCTAAAACAATATTATACACTACCATTTATCCTATACACACACCAGGTGTTGTACTAAGAGCTGCATATACTTTAAGAGACTTTATATTTTATATAAAAGAGGAAACTTGGATATCCAAGGCAGTACAAATAAGTCTAACCTAGTTTGGATAACTACAAAGCCTACAGTCTAACCACTACACCAGATTGCTTCTCAATGATTACACAATTAATCAGATGCTAAATAACATTACACAGATAATAGCTAAGAATAGCAAAGAATGAAGAGTTTACACATTGACTAGTGCTCTTAGAATGCAGTTTATGAAGGAGGCTAGGCTTCAGTTTGAATTTAAAGAATGATTAGTAGATAAATAAGTAAATAGAAAGGAGCTGTGTAAACTCTAAATACCAGAGTGTATAAATCTTCTATGAAAACAAAAGGGCAACAACAATATGCAATGAATACAAGACAAGAATCATAGGTACGCGATGTATTCCAACACAGATATGTATCTGAAGTACAACAGTTTAATTTTACATATTATGGCACCAACATATATATGTGCCCTGGTGTTTAGAATGCCCAACCCAATAATGTCAACTTTAATTTATATTAAAGGACTTCAGAAACCTCTGGAAAGAAAATATGTTTTATAGGGGCCAATGCTGTGGTGTAGCAGATAAAGCCACTGTCTACAGTGCTGGAATCCTATATGGATGCCAGATCGAGATCTGGCTGCTTCACTTCTGATCCAGCTCTCTGCTATGGCCTGGAAAAGCAGTAGAAGACGGCCCAAGTCCTTGGGCCCCTGCACACACATGGGAGACCCACAGGAAACTTCTGACTCCTGACTTGGGATAGGCCCAGCTCCGGCCATTGCAGACATTTGGAGAGTGAATCAGCAGATGGAAGACCTCTCTGCCTCTGCCACTGCCTGTCTGTTTGTAGCTCTGCCTTTCAAATACATAAATAAATCTCTTTTTTTAAAGTCACCTTTAAAAAAAGAAGATATGTTTAATAATGTTATCATAACTATTAAGGGTAGAAGAAAGGAAAGAATTAAAATCAAGTTTATCAAATTTTATTTTATTTTACTACACAAAATCTAAGCCCCAAGGAGGTCTCTTGATTTATAACCTCTCAAATTAATATATAAATCCAATAACTGTGTAATAGTTTTGGTTTGCTATTACCTTCCTCCATAGCACCAGTCAGGAGGATTTAACACCAAGCATTCCAAGTACTTAAACTCTAAGACTGCATCTCCAGGTAGGAAGAACTGAAAAGTCTCCAGATTCTCAGGTTAATCCTGCTTTCTCGTCTATTTACTTCAGGATGACTCATTCCAGTAAGCACCACCTCACCTATCATGGCTTCCTCTCTCACCTTTTCCAACCAAAGTTATTTTCAACACTAGTCTTTTTGAAAGTAGAAAAATGCAGAGCTGGATGTGCCTGACACAAAGAACAGGAGTACTCACAATTTTTTATATTATCTATTCATTCAATTGAAAGGCAGAGTGACAAAAAGGGAGAGAGACACACACACAAATAGAGAGAGAGAAAAAAAAAGGAGGAAGATCTTTAATTTGTTGGTTCACTTCTCAAATTTTCAACATAGCTGGAGTTGGGATAGGCAAAGCCAAGAGCCTGGGACTCTCTCCAAGTTTCCCATGTGGGTGGCATGGACCCAAATACTTAGGACATTTTCTGCTGTCTCCCAGGCACATTAGTAGAAAGTTGGATGGGAAGCAGAGGAGCCAAGAATCAAAACAGGCTCTCCATTACAGGATGCAAGCATCCTAAGGAGTAGCTTCACTCACTACCAATACTATGATGTCTGCTACAGTAATAACTCTTTTAAAAAAAAAAACTAAATTCTTGCCTAGGAAAGAGGCCCCATTAACAATCTCTCAAAAAATGATGCTAAAAATGTCACAGAAAAAGACAGCAAGTAAAATATGAGTGAGTCCAAGAAAATAATTAAAGTTGATTCATGGGACACCTAAAAATCAGGCCTACAGTAACACTGATATTTTCCGTTTCTTTAAGAAGTGGATAAAAGAAGAAAATATATCAGGAGAAAACATAAATAATATATAGGGCAAAGGTCAATCTATCAGCCTCCAGCATCCAGGAAACCAGGAAACAATGCCCTTCCAAATTTTAAAAGGATAGCAAAACATATCCATTTTAATTACCCACAATCTGAAACCAAATCTTTTGGCATACTTCTTTCTCATAGCAACAACACCACCAATAATATTTATTGGGTATTTGTGATGGGCCAGATACTGTCATGAACACTGGAAAGGACACAACATTGAAGGTGACAAAAAAGGCAATTTCCTTATGCAGTTTACATTCTGTCACACTGAGGAATAATGGATGAAAGAACAAACCATGACTAATTCTCTAGTACAAAGAATCCTGCCTTAATATGGGACACCTTTCTTGTAAAATTGGCAGTTTTTACAAAGACCTAACTATTTTCCAGTTGGAGAAAAAAAGCACCTTCCAGTATTTGCTTATTAGGTTTTTGGAACTATAAAGGAATAGGATGGGAGATAAAAGACAAATTCTACCAAATCAGAAAAGATCTGATATTCTGACCCTTTAATCATGCCCCATACAGGAAATGCAACATCCAAGTTTGGAGTCAATCTGATAAGATTTGAAGCCCAGCTTCATGTTTTATCACTATGACTATAAGAAAGTTACTTAATTCTCTTAAGAGTTTTTTCTCAGGTGTAAAATGGCAATAATAAAATCAATCCCACCATATTATTATAAGAATTTAATGACTTGATTCATAAATGTTTCTATAATATTAGATGGCATATAATTGTTACTTAATAACATATACATATAACATATACACCCCATGTGCCCATTTTTTCCTCGAACATGGACAATTTACCTATCTGTCCTCAGTGCCATTCTCACAGAGCTCTATCCTTTTACCCTCGAAGCATTCACCTTCACCCAGATTCACAACTGTCTAATGTAAGAATCACTGGAATGTTCTAATGAGAAAGGATAAAAGAGGACAATGACTACTGTCTGCCAAATAAAATACCCTTCAGTAATAAAATACGGTCTTGGAAACAAAACTGTGCTAAAAACTGCACAGGCCAGAGCAGTGACCCACAATGTGCATTTTAAGCAGCTACATCTGAGAGCTCGCTGTAGCAGTTTTCAGTAACTATGACTGTGTTATATGTGCTAATATCTAGGTCAGTACTAATTTTTTAAATAAAATTTACATGGATATTGTGGCCTTTTCATATATATTAAAGTATAATTTGCTTGTAATATTATACAAAACAAAGTTCCAGGGAGAAAGAAAGAAAGAAAAGACCATAGAAAGGTCAAATAATAAATGTGATAGACTAAGATCCAGAATGTAACTCTCTTTTCAGGCCAATATTTCTAGATTACATCATAAAAACTTAATGAGGTTTAAATATAAGAAGTCTTGCTTTGAAAATCCTCATCTAAAAGACCTAAAATTTGAAAATTGGGCAATGACCAGAATATTACACCCTTTGCCACACCACAGGAAGACTCTTAAGTGATGGACTTGGTGCCTGGCCATGCAAGATAGTCATTTAGTCATTTTTCTAGATGATATCCATCACTGAGCACATCCCCAAATTTCATGCAACCTAAATTAAACGTGTAACTGGCTGTTCTGATAGGAATAAACATTCTATTAAAGAAAAAGCTTTACAATTCTGACACCTAGTGGCTCTGAAGAAACTGGAACAGACCAGCCCTCGAACAGCAGCCAGCTACTGTGGGACTAACTCAAAAAGACCCAGAATTTAATTACTGTGAATATTGGGTTTATAAAGTATCAATTCTTAGAGAATCTTGTAAAAGCTTATTTTAGCTATGGATTTATCTTGAAGCCTGCACAAGGAAGCAAAAAGACTTGCATTTGTAAAGTATATTTTCCTTCAACCTTCCACATGAAGCAAATGTTTACTTATTCAAAGATAGAACAAAAAATAAAGACCAATTCATATTTTGGCATATTTTTTACTCTTTCCCTTCATTTTATATATGCATCCACAGCTTTTTCTCCTTCAAGTTATTTTTCTCTTCAGCTATCCCCCTGCCAAATATAAACACTATGTGACCAAGCCATCATAGAGGTGACCTTTTAGCCAGAGACATTGTTAGTCAAAGGGAAGTTGGACCTTCACAAACCAGCAGGAGTTTTCTTTAAGCGAGGTATGGGCACACATGTGGAAACCCGTAACATTCACATCTAAAAGCAAGGACCACACTGAACACTGCAGGAAGCCATAAGAACACAGTGGATCAACGCAGTACAACCTATTTGTGCCCTAACCCTTAGAAGGTTAAGTCTCCCTAGACCCACCTGTACCTCTCTCTGGCAGGCAAAACAGCAGGAAGTCTAACATGCTCCTTTCCTTTGCCAAGGAGAGCTCTGATTCCTACCTGCTGACGTTTGAAGGCTAAATAATCCAGATTTTCTAGCTCTTTCCCAAGCTTCTGGTATGTTTTCTGGAGGTCAGATTTGTTGGAAACGTTTTAAGAGACTGAAAGGTCCTTTGAACCTGAAATTGAAAACAAAAGATCATTTAAGATAGCAGAATATTTTTCTCAAATCCCCAGCTAGCTAACACAGAGAAATAGGCAATAATGGGCCTCCGTTTCTCACTTCCATAATACAGAGATAAAAATTTCTAGCTAATTATATTTCAATCAAATAATTAGGAAAAATTGTAAGGAACCAGAAACTGTACATTAAGTACAACCAATGTTAACACAAGAATTAGAAGTATATTTAGTCCTCATTCTAATATATTAGTATACATCATTTAAAAAAAAAAAAACTTCATATATTAGGATAACTGTTTTTTTTTTAAAGGAAGCATTAAAAGAGTTCCCATATCCCAATCACTAAAACAAATTTATGAGAAGTTAGCTGCCAGCATAATATTTTGCTATAATAGCATGGGACCTGGCTTACCTCTGTAGAAATATATATGCAAAATAAATAACTTCAGCAAGGAATATCTCTTAGGGTTTATGCTTTGGGAAGGAAGGAGCACTAACATTCTGATGATGGAAGCACATGTGACATGTTCAGCAAACATTTATTCACTTCTGCTCTATAACATAGCTGAGTTATGAAATCAGTTCTGCTGAATCAGAATGCTCTCATTTTTAACTCAGATACTAGATAAATGCAAAGGTGACAAACTGCTGTAGATCACAGAAGACTGTCTGCTACTGATAATTAATTAAGCAAAGGGAGCTCAAAAGAAATTGAACTCTTTGTTCATTTTTAGTAAATTAGAACATCCTATGGAGGGTTAATGATTGAGAATGTCAAATAATGTAATTTGCCAGATATGTGCATTTGCTCTATCTTTATGTCATTATTTGCCATATTCTCACTCTGTGCTATTAGATAGATTTCCAGATAGAGACTTTACCATCTTAAACTCACCAGACTCAAATATGATTATGATGCCATGAGACAGGTTAATAAGATTTTATAGAATATAATTAAGTTTCCACGAAAACGATTAGACCCTTACTATATCAAACTCATGAAATAAGTCATATTGGAATGACATGATACTGAATTAAATTCTCAATTCCACGAAAGCAACATGTTTATCTCAATCCAATGTGACAGAGTAAAAAGAAATGGGAAATAACAGTGCTAAACTTCCACAGCAGGACAGTAAATTAAATTCTACAAATAATCACTTAGAACCTACTATGCACAAAGCGCTGTTAATATAAAACATACTTTCTTCCCTCAAGGAACTTAAACACTACAGAAGAAACTAGATATGACACTCAGAAATGAGAGGACACTGGCATTTATTGAGTGCCTGCTCAGTACCAGGTGCTTTGTGCATTTCAATTTAACTTTCAAAAGAAGCACAAGAGTTCCTACTTCTCTTCCTATTCTGTGAGTAAACTGACACTCATAAAGTTTGACTGAATCGGGTTCTTCTTATTAAAGTGTTTATGCTCTATTATGCCATTAACTCTAACACAAGGGAAAGTAGCAAAGAGAGTTAAAAAAAAAAAAAGACAAAATATACCTGCAGCAAAAACTCAAAAAAAAAAAATCACTGATACTGCCTGAGGGACATAGCCCATACAGAAGACATGAGAGAATCTAAATTGGGCCTCAAAACACAGGAATACAAGAGTCTTGTGTGGGAACCAATTCTACCCATCAAGCCATCAAACATCACCAAAAATCTGTCATCAAAGAAGGAGGTACCTTTCTCTGAAGGGAGGAGAGAACTTCCACTTTGACCATGGCCTTGTCTAAAAATTATCAGAGTCAGTGAACTCAGGGGGCTTCCATAGCCTTGGCAGCTCATGACAAGAGCCTAGGGTGATTACTGAGGCCATAAACAAGAGTGTCAATTTGGTAAGTCAACAACAGGAGTCACTGTGCACTTACTCCTCATGTAGGATCTTTGTCCTTAGTGTGCTGTACCGTTGAGATTTAATGCTATAACTAGTACTCAAACAGTATTTTTCACTTTATGTTTCTGTATGGGAGCAAACTGTTGAAATCTTTACTTAATGTATGCTAAACTGATCTTCTGTATATAAAGAGAAATGAAAATGAATCTTGATGTGAATGGAAGGGGAGAGGGAGTGGGAAAGGGGAGGGTTGCGGGTGGGAGGGACGTTATGGGGGGGAAGCCATTGTAATCTATAAGCTGTACTTTGGAAATTTATATTCATTAAATAAAAGTTAAAAAAAAATCTGTTCATTTTCCTCCTCTTGTAACGTAGTCAACAAGTTCCTTTTGACACAATTTTAATAATCTTTATATTAAATATTTACTATGTTTTATGATCATATCTGACCTTGCCCACTTCTTGATTCTTTTCATTATGCTCAAATCAAAATATACCAGATATAAGATTCTAAACACTTAAAATAATTCTGAGTTATTTAATTAATATAGGCTATTTTACCAAAATCCATTTAATTCTAAAACATTCTTTATCCTCTGCACTTTCTTTTCACTAAGAAATGCCACTGCTACTTCTTAAATATTTCTTTTTTGCATTATCTCTATGAACTTTACACAACGCCAAATGGGAATTTCAGGGGAAATACAGTTGTATCACTTCAAAATAAGAAACATGGAAAAGTTATACTTCTGGTAATATATCCACGACCAAATAAAGGGGTAGAAAGTCTAGTAACATTACATCATCATAAGAATATTTTAAGTAAAGGCAGAGTTTATATAATGTAGAGATTTTGCTGGAACTTTCATTGTCAGAACTTATATCCTCAATTTATCAATATTAAAGAATTCCAAGTACTCTAAACATATTATGATTTCAGTCATTTCAAATTTTTTTCACTTACAAAAGCAAATACTTATCATGAGGAATCATACAAAATCTATAGTGTAATAACCAGAATCTATAAGAAGAGATGCAAACAATTTAAAAGCAAAAGTAAGACAATTCAATTTAAAAATGGACAGTAGACCTAAACAGACATTTTTTATGGGAAGGCTCAATATCACTAATCATCAAGGAAATACAAATGAAAACCATAGATATCACCTCAACCCAGTAAGATCAGCTATTACCAAAAAACACAAAAGAACTGCTGGTGAGGATGTGGACAAAAATGGAACCCCCAAACACCATTGGTAGGAATGTAAATGAGTATAGCCATTGTGGTAAACCATATGGAGCTTCCTCAACAAACTAAAAATAGGGGCCAGCATTGTGATACAGCAGGTTAAGCAATAGCCTGCAACACTGGGAGCCCATATGAGTGCAAGTTCTAGTCTCAGCTGTTCCACTTCCAATCCAGCTCCCTGCTAATGCACTTGGGAAAGCAGTGGAAGCTGGAGATGGCCCAAGTGTATGGGCCCTTGTTATGCCTGTAGGAGATCCAGATGGAGTTCTGGCTTCAACCAAGCTGAATTCTGAAGGTTGTGGCCATTTGAGGAGTGAACCAGCAAATAGAAGTCCTCTCTCTTTCCCTCTCTTTCTATAACTCTACTTTTCAAATAAGTAAATAAGTCTTTAAAATAAAATGACCTAAAAATAGAACTATCATATAATCCAGAAATCCCACTTCTGGGTATATTATATATATATATATATATATATATATATCTCCAAGGCATATATCATTGTAAATCATTCTGTCAAAGAGACATCTACATCTCATATTTATTGTAGAACAATTTACAAAAGCCAATAGATGTAAAAAACCAAAGGGTCCATCAACTGATGAATAAATAAAGACAATATGGTACATATACAAAAAGGATGAAAGCCAACAAAGTAGATCTCATTGCTGGTTATCAGAGGCTGAGGAAAGTAGGGAGAGATTGGGAAAGACTATTTAATGGGTACTAAGTAATAGTTAGACAGGAATAATAAGTTCTAGTCTTCTATTGCACAGTTGAATGAATATAGACAATGATTTTTTAAAAAGCTGAAAGAATGTTGAATGCTTCCACCATAAAGAAATGATAAATGTTTGAGGAGACAGATATGTTTACCTTGATATGACATTGCATAATGTACGAACGTATGAAAACATCACATTTATACATAAATTTGTATAATTTTATGTAATAGTTATTACTGATAAAAATAAATCTACAGTGTAATCTGAAGTTAGATTCCCTACTAAATATAGCCTATCCCCATCTGCCCACTAATACACCTAAAGATGCTATAGATTAAAAAGCAATAATTTTACTTGGCATATGCAACCAAAATACAGAAGATAAAAATAAGATTGATTAAGCTGTGCCTTATATTTTAAAGAGATTTGATATTGACTTGATTTGATGATTTTTCTTTCCAACAGGTCACTATGCTTGATCACTGAAACACACTGCTGAGATTCTCCACATTAGTTCAGTGCACAGCAATTTCATTATATTGATTATTTCTCAAAACAAATGATCTCCTAGTTGTAAGTAAGTAAGGCAAGGAATCACAATTAATCAAAGAAATTTTAATATGAGCCAAGGAACCCAAAACAATTTTTAAACACTGAATTTATCATGTGTTAACTTTTTGACTCATTATAGTATTTTCATATTTTTTAAAAGACCAGTTTATCAAAACTAGAAATACTTAGATCTGTTCTAATGTTATTGGCAGGCATATAAAATAAAATTGATCAGGTTTGTGAGCTGGAAGACCACGCCCCTATGTGACCGCATGCCCCTACCTGGCTACACCTGTGCACCCACCAGCCAATCAGGTTAATTAACCACTCCCCATTGGAAGTAGATTAAAAGCCTGAGACACGGTGTGCCCTCTCCATTCCTTGGCCTTTTGCCAGTGTGTGGGCTTGTGCTGGCCTGCGCCTCCAGGGCATGTGTGGACCACCCGCCCCATGCTTTCTGGTCTAGATGCTCCTCCACTAGGCTGGTTCCTGGTACTCAGTATGAATCCAGATTTATCTCTCTCTTTTTTAGATAAAGCTCTTACTTTCCTATGCATCTTTCTCACTGAATAAAAGTTTAAAAACGTACCATGCTGCCTTGTTCATCTATGCCGGTATTCAGAATTCTTT